TAGTTGATAGGAATTGTTTATATCTTATTGTTTGACAAAACATATGTAGTACTGTGAAAGGAGAGGTTACTCCAAACTGTATTCACAATGCAGAAGAATGAGAGTCGAGTGCTGATCACTACTTCTACGTCTAACCTTAAGCTTTATTATTCCTAACGGTATATGTGCAAACAAATGATCAGGAGCTAAGCATGAAAAATCTTGCATAGTTTTTAAATAATACAGTGAATTCAGAAATGCTGAAATATTATTTTTCCATAACTAATAGCAGACTGGAGAAATCCCCAGTTGTACAGTGTCAGAACACAGGCAGTTGTGAAGGCTAAGGTGAAACTACCTCTAAATCAAGGAGCTGTCAGGATTTTCCCATCATGCTTTTTCTAAGGCTGAAGTCAAAACAAAATGCTACATTTATTACTGTCATGTAAAAGACCATTACTGGGTGACATAGTGGTGCCAGCCAATGGCCTGTTTACAGTAATAGACTTTACACATGCAAGTCCAGATGTGCAGCTTGCTACGAACTTTTAAAAAAATTAACTGTAAGGATGAGGAAAAAAACAATGAGCAAGTGGGTTTTACCCTTTTTCCTTGTTTCTTTATTTAAAAGACCTTCTTTTTATTAAGAAAAAAAAAAAAGTTACTATGAAAAAACAAAATCCCTACTTTTCTTTCTTTCTTTCTTTCTTTTTTTTAATTTAGAAATTACATTGATCACATCTGATAATCTTGATGACTCCAGTTCAGTTAATTGATCAGCAGTTACCTTGAGGCACCTAAGTGACAGGTTTAGTCTGTCACTTAGACAAGATTTGTTCATATTATTCATCCCCAAAGTCTTGGGTTTATAGCAGTTCCAGAGTAAAATAAACCTCTACTGGCAGCATATTTTTAGTCTATATATCTACAGCTATACAGGTCTTTTACTAGTAAGAAAACATCTCCAGAAATTGTAACTTAACAAGTATTGTTATTCTGGCAATTATTTCTAGTAGTCTAATTATAAATGCTAGGACAGCTATTGCCTGACTGTTTGTTTTGCAGCATATGGTTTATGTCAATATGTTTCTAAAAAATAAAACAAGCATAAAGTCCAGTTTTCAGCTGACTCTACAGGAAGTAATTGTAACTCCACTGGAAATTATATATATCAATTGTTGCATTTATCTAGCAGGCATAACTACATGTGCTAAATATTTTGGCTTTATACAGTTTTAAAAGACACCATTTTTGTTTAGATTGACCACAGATACATTTACTTAAATCAGTTGGTTTACCTGTACTTGTCTATTATAGCAATTGCACAGCGGATATGTTTATCTACAAGTTGAAATTCAGCTCCTATAACTGTAAGTGTAGAACATTGGCTTTTTCTGCTTTATTAGTTTTATCTTTAATCCCACTTCCAGAGAGCCCTTAATGGGTTGTGACATCCAGTAACTGAGGTGGAAAGGTTAATGGGGCATCTTGTTATGCTACACATTTTTGTTGCAAATAATTTTGTATATTAAATGCATTAAACCTTTGCCATAGGGAAGTGAGAGAAGAATTTGAGTGGCTAAAGAAAGTGGGTCCAGCTCATGGCTGGTTGCAAAAATAAAGCTTAAGGACAATGGGAGCAGCTGCTGTTAGAGAGTGACACATTTGTAAGATACAACCAATATCTAAAATGTAGCAGTGATTGATTTTGTCTAGCAAGGGCAGATCTGAGGGAGTTAATATAACAATGTTTAAAAACTGCATGTGATTATCTTAATTCACCCTGTAAAAGCCAGGAGATACTAATTTCCATTCAATATCTTTTATGTATGTGACCATACCTGCCATGCCCAGATCTTCTGATCATCTGGCCATAGAGATGCTGATTATCGCCTCCACTTCCAGTGTAGAAATACAGTAGAGAAACAATTTTTATACAGAGTAAGAGCTGTGGTCTAGACCATTCCATGTCAGGATAATTTCTGAGGTAGGTTTTTGGATAAGTGGTCCATTTGGTAAAGGCATAAGGTTATTTTCTCACTCAAATAGCCACCATCCTTCTGAATTCATGCTACAGGAACTGCTCGCAAGCTCAGTTACCTGCTGTGCCCCTCACTGTATCCTTTGACGACCATCTGTCTCTCTCACAGGATATTTCCAGTAGTGGTGCAGTATGGAGAATTTCCTGTGTCAGTGGCTGTTCTTACCCTACATCAAACAGGGCACTGTGAGAAAGGCAAATGTAGTCCTTAGGACATGAACACTCCACATTATCTCTTCCAAGGAAATTCTGCCAGCGAAAGGGGCAGTAGTTGCCTTACAACACGCAGGCAAAGGCTGTGCTTCCCTCCCTGCCACCTGTACTGATTATCTGTTTATTGCAAAGCACTTGATTTACACTCCAAATTTGCTCACTGTGCCCTGTGATGTTTAGAGAATTGAAGAAACTGTGCTGCTTGAAAAGCAACACGTACTGTGCTTTTGTACAGTTCTGTTTGTCAATAAAATGTAATTTAGCTAAAACAAAAGTACTGATTGTCAATAAAGTACAATTTAGCTAAAACAAAAGGTGTATTTCTGACAAAAGGCTTCCACAGCAGTAGAGGCAGTAGAAGTGATCCAGAAAATACTGACATTATTAAATCTGTAGGCTTAATTTATTTTTTTTTTAATATCCAAACTCTTGTGTTCAAACTTCCAAACAGAATGGCAACATGAGCAGTAGGCATTTGTAAAGTTGTTATCAGCTGAAAGCTGTGTTAAAGAATATTAGCTAAATGCATTTCTGCTTCTGTGCTTTTACCAAACATGCACTCCTACACATGCCGAAATCTGTACGCCAAAGTGAAAAAGGTTGCCACAGAAACCCTCCTGTGTGTACTGAGTACATTTCTTCGTCATTTATACATAGAATAGACAGAAGGGTGTCTTTTAACAGCCAGATCATCCATCCCCAAGGTGTAAGCGATTCCATGCGATATGATGAAACTTATTTTAAAAAATAAAGATGGAACTAAATGTAGCATGTAATCATTTAGATCGAGACAGGAGGAAAAATGGTCCTGTTCAGTGAAATGTACAGGAAACATTTAGGAGACCAGAATATAACTTTGGGGATTGTTAAGCAGAGAGACATAAACCTGACAAATTTTCTCTCATTTTTCATTAGAATTTTTAATTTCCAGCAACCTCCGGATTGTTAGTATATTACCAAAGTGTCATGTACAGAGTTAGAGAAATAACAGGAGGTTTGGAGTCTGATGTAACTCCCAGAGTTATTCCAAATCCACAAGTGCGCAATGTATATAGAGAAAAAACTGTTCACAGAGTCTTACTTTTAAAGCTGCTTAACAGCTTAAAATGGTAAAAAGTCCTTAACACAGTTTAAGAACTTAAACCACTTAAAATGTTTGAGGCAGCTTGTCAGTTTGAAGAGTTGGGGGTTGGTGAGAAGGGGGTGAGGTGAGAGGTGTCCGAGCCGAGCTGCAGCCCTGGGGACAGGGCTGGCAGGCTCCCACATGGCGTGTCCTGGCAAAGGGGCCCTTTTGGACCCAAACTTGGGAGGCCTGGAGGTGACATGATGGAGAAGATGGAAGAGTTTTCTACATATATTTTTACAGTAATGTGTATATGACTGGATTGTTTTGCCTTAAATAGTGTTGCAGGGAATTTTACAGGAATATGAGGTGTAAGCAGTAGCAGCCCACCAGTGAAACAGGGAAGAGGGCGGCAGAAAAATATTGTCTGTGACAAGTCTTCAGCTTCAGCTCATGGGCCAAGGGAAGGCTCCCCAGGAGCATTGTGAAGAAATCTTCAGCAAGAGCTGCAAGGCAAAATGGTTTGCTTTTGTGGCTCCAGGAGTTGGAAGCAGGTGGGAGGTGGCATGAGTGGGCCTTTCAGATGTTTTGAGGAGGATTTTTGTTTTTCTGAAAGATTGTTTTCGGGAAGAAGAAATGAGGGGAGCGAGAGGGGAGGCGGGGAGGGTTGCTTTAGTTTGATCTCAAACAGCATTCATCAATTGGTCATATCAGAAGCGTGTTGTTGTTTTTATGTGAAGTTACGCATTTATAAAACCATTATTTATGAGTTCCAGTTTGGTCCTTGCTGACACATGTGGTGGTCAATGGTTGAATATGTGTGTGTATGCTCAGATGAAAAAATGCCGGCACTGCACAGAAGGGACACTTGAGGACAAAGGAAGGAGAGACGGGAATGGGAGTGGACCTCTCAAGGTGAAAAACAGCTAGGATGCCTCTTCTGATGGCAGTGAGGCCACTTTAAATGTTTTGAAACTTGGGCTGATTTTCATTGATGCAGGCAGTGATTTACACCTTCCTGCGCAGAAAAGGCTGTAAAACTGGAGTGAATTACATTCCTTACAATTTGAAAATAAATGGTGCATTCACAGCCACTCAAGTTGAGGCCCATTTACACTTCCAGAGTGGTATAATGAGTAAATGAAAGTTAGGCCTGTGTGTGAGTGAAAAATGCCTGTTTTACCAGAGGCTGTGAAAAGAGAGCGCGCAGGAGAGACTTGGTGGAAATTGGAAGCAAGACTTTTATTTGTTTGTTTAAAACAATCATATTGATTTGGAGTCAGATGGAGTATTGATGTAGCTGCAAACTAATTCCATGGAATTCTGCAAGGTATTTCTCGTGATGCTGATGGGGCTGGAAGTTTATATGTATAATCTGAGTTTTTCCTGTGCTTGAGTAAGTCTTTATTGCACTACATTCTTGTGCAAACTTGGCATTGTAATATTTAACAGGAATGTTATCAGTCAAAAAGAAGTCTTTACTGGGGTGAAAATGAGCTTGGCTATAGTTAAATTTATATGATCTCAATACAATTAAATTACTTGTTGATTTTCTTTTATGATGAGGAAAGAGATATGCAAAAATTACTTGGTGAGGGGAAGTGCTTTCTGACAACTGACAGACATAGAAAGAAAATACTTAATGAATGAAATCTTGCTAATGTACTGTATCATACTAATATCTCAATATTGCTTGAATTTCAGAACATTTCAGGATCTGTCCAAACAAATGGATATATCTTACGGTACAGTCAGGGATTCAGCAGTCTATGAATACTTTAAAGCAAAAGGGACCAACCCTTTGGAGCAGGATAACACATTTGCTGAACTATGGAGGACTATCAGTAAGAATAATGGGGCAGATAATTGTGTATCGAACCCTTCCGAAGGCATCAGGAAGGTAAGAGCGGATTACAGGGGGTTTAATTTAATTTTTGTGCTGTATCAATGTTGTTTGCATGGAGTCAAAAATGTCAAGTCACAGGAAAGCAGTTACATTGTCATTTAAAAAAAAAAAAAGTCCCTATCTGAAATTCCTTTTAGTAACTTGATGGCAGATAAGAATCTTATTTTGGGGTCATGGTTTTGAATTTAAGTACCTTAGCTCTGCCTAAGTCTTCAGTATGTAAGTCCTTCTTTGGATCTGGCCATAAGATTTCTCAGTTTCTTGGTACTTCCAATAATACCATTTTGAATGTCATTATCTACATTATCCAGGTACAGACTCTTGTCTTTTGCTCATTTGAGTGGGTTTTTTTCCAAGCTGCTGGACTGAATTTACTGGAAACACGAGTAAGAATCAAGGGATTCACTGAATGTATCTGTATCTCTTCTGTAGAACAGAATTGTAGTGCAAGCTTTTCCTTGTTTATTCCAAACTTCAAAAAATGCATATACTCTTTCACATCACCATGCTTTCAACTAACTGTTTTTTCTCTCAGATATGACTACACAATTTTTGCTGAAACTGAGCATTGATGTGGGATTCAAGGACTGATATACAACAGCTTGGGATCCTACATCATTGTACAGAGTCCTGTGATAAACAGCTCTGGTTCAGATCACACAAACACAAATGTCCACACTTTCTCACTCGTAGCCTGCCTCTCTACTCTGCTTCCCATCTCGTACTTCAGCAAAACCAGATAGTAAATAACATCAAGCAACCTGTGTCCAGGAGTATGTTACCGCAGAAGGGAGACATGGTAAAAGTTTAATGTGCTGCTCCTTTAGTGAAAAGTATCCTCTTTATTTGTCAATTGATTTTTTTCATAAAACAAGCTAACAGCTGTTATTAACATGATTATTTGATCAGTTACTCTGTTGTCAGTGAAACACTGATTCTGAATAAATGTATTACTAGTTCTTTATGCTTTTCTAAGTATGAAATAATAAAGTGATTGGGGCTTGGGTTTATTATTTTTTTTTTATTTGAAGTTTTGAAACCTTTTCTGAACAGTCAGAGGGAAAGCCTCCAAAATTTACTGGTTTTACAGTGACGTAAGGGGGGTGAACACAGTAAGATATGCCATCCCATTTCCCAAATCAAAGTCCTTTAACATGTTTCCCAACTCTTTGTGTGACTTTTGGACAAAATCCTTATACAAACAGTCTTGTGTATTCTCAGCACAGAAGTATTTAGTCAGTAGTTTTGGTTCACCCTGCCTTTTCTCTTATCTCCCAGCTAAGCTTTTGTAAAGCTCTCTCCCCTTGGCTCAAATAGCCATACAAGGTGGAGCTCTGGCAATAGCAAAGTCTGCGGTGTGTTGGGGTTTTTTGTTGTTTTTTGGGGTTTTTTTGATCTGCTCAGCATTTTATGAAAATGTGGCCTCTATTTCGAGAGAATTTGTTAGCATTTAAAGGAGGTATAAATAGAGACATGAAGTACTTTCTATGTACACTAGCATTACAACCAATAATTAAACAGTTTACTTTAGAACAATGCACAGTATTTTAATTTGTTTTTCTTTTACCATTCTTATGTCAGTAGATGCTTTCTAGCCAGGGGATTGCAAATACTCTTACTCTGTAAGCCTACTGCATGCTGTCATTTACGATAGTTAGATTTGCCTAAGCCAGAAATGTAACTGTAGATTGACAGGCTGTTTAGAATACCAATTATATTGTCTGTATGGATCTGGCAGCTCTATCCCATCTATGTGATAATAACTTTTCATATTAAGTTTGATTTCAATATTGTAGGATGATTTTTATATAACTTGATCAGCTCATTCAATTAGCGTCAACAATAACCGGATTAACTTCAGTCCCCAAAGCTGACCAAGGCTGCTATTTGATTAGACAACTCCATAAATTTGGCTTAATATTTAATAATATTGTCAACTAAACTGTTGTGTTTATAGTTTAAATGTCGTTCTTCTTAGTTCATTGAGCTCTTTGAATAAACAGGCAAGTTTTCCATGTCAAGTACTACAGCTGAAAATTCTGTTTTTTCTAAAGGACAATTGATGTCAGCCAACGAAATGGGTCTTGCCATCTGTAAACATGTACTGCTGCATGAAAGAGATGTAAATGTGCCTTAAAAACGTATTTTATATGAAATGGGAAATCTAAATCTCTCTAGCATAAAAAGATTCCTAAAACATTTTTCTGAATGAGGACTCGCTTGACACAAGGCAAAAAAAAAATCACTACTACCCTTTCTCCCCTCCTCCCCCTTTCCATTTTCTTCAGTCAGCATCACAGTTGAGCTGCAGTTACAAAGAGAGCAATGCCACTTCAATGCAAAACAGGAGAGTGCTGCTTATTTATTGTACAGGCAGGCATTTCAGGTGTTTGTCTCTATTCCATTTACCTCCCTCCATTTCCCGTAGATTTTTCTACTGCCTTTGACTGCCTAAAAACAAAAGGATAATAGTGGAAGAGAGTCCTGAAAGCTTTTGTGGTGTTTGGTTGCCATGGCAGAGGTCTCTTTTCAGACACAGCACAGTCCCTGTAGCCACAGTGATCATCTCCCAGTGTCAAGGCACAGCTTTTGCAACACTGGTAGAGCCACGGAAAAGGCATTAAAGCACTGCAAAGTCACGTAAGCAGCAGAAGGACGTTTCAGAGCCATGGGAGAGGGGGGCAAGTTGCTTTTGTCATACTCCCAAGACAGTTGAAATTGATCATTGCAGATGGAAAACATCCTCCTATTCATAAATGTCTCTGCACAGCGTAAGAGGGGATTACCAGACAAATCACCAGTCCATACAAAGTGCTATTTTGCCATTTGAGTTTTCTGGTACTATAACAGATGAGGATTGACTAATGCTGTCATATGAAAAGTTTCTTTCTGGGCCAAGTTACAGCCAGGATTCCTCAGGAGCATGCAGTGGGTAGCTCCTGCCGTCCCATCCCAGGTGGACATTGGTACTGGCATCACACATATTTCTCAGCCGTTTGTAAATCTCAGTAAACTGCATAATAACCAGTGGCAATAAGTTCTTCAGGGTAATTATTAATTACCACAACATACATAATAACCTGTGGTTTTTTTCTTTGTGGGCAGCCAGTTTTGCTTTGAAAGAATGAAGTAATATGATCTCTATGCAATCCCATATTTAACTTTTTTATATATATATAGGAGAATTAAACTGTTTGGGTTTGTTCTTTTAAAAAGCCTTGCTTTGGTGGAGATTGTTTATTCCCCAATTTGGTGCCAAAATTTCTCTGAATCCTTTCTTCCTGTGTGCCACTTTCGTGTGTCTGTGTGTCACTGTGTATCACTTTTGATGAAAAGTGATCAAAACCAAGTACAGTACAAAATGTGAATGTATCATTGATTTAGGCAGTTGCACATTAAGAGTTTATTCCTTCCCATTTTTGCTTTCTTCAAAAAGTTTCTCCCCTTAATGAACACTAAACATTAAATCAGTGTTTCCTGTTAAACAGTCAACTGTGTTCATTTTTATCTTGAGAGTAAAAGTAATTTAAAAGTTCAGTGAATAGGATTTTTTTAAAACTTTTTTTCAATAATTTATCATCCGCAGTGAATTTTATATTGTGAATTGTGGTTGCTCATCCATATGTTTTCATGGGTCCTCATAAATTTTCTCCATTTCTTGACCCATCGGCCTTTGGAGTAAAAGCAAATGCTTCCTTATAGCCTGAATATGTGACATCCTTTAGTGGTTCCTTAATTATATTATTTTTTAAATCATTTGACCAGGACTAAATGACATGTTTTCTTTTTATTAGAACTGTGTTGCTTCTCTTAAAGCAATTTTTTATAGATAGTGTTTATCAAAACGTGTTTTTAAACTACTCCACTAATGTCAAAGTAAAGGTCACTTTTTGATATTTCTGTGGTACCTGCTATAAAATGTGATTAGCTACAGTGGTACTCTGTTCAGGCAGTAAATTAATGATGAATGTTGCATTATTCTGGCACTTTTCTCTTTATGATGGTGTCTTCTTCATAAGTTTCAGACAAATCACAGACATATCAGTGATTAATCTGAAATTAATCTTTTTTCAAGTTGTTATATTTTCTTACCATGCTTTCTTTGAAAAGACATTGTTTTACCATCAGTAAGTCAGGATCCTTTGAACAATATTTTTCTATCTCCCTTCACATTGATGAGTGACATTATGAGGTTGCTTACTGCTCTTCTGAAGTATTACTATTCTCTTTGTGGTCCTTCTTACATCTAGGAAGCAATCTTTCTTGGCCTTTTAATTTTTTATTATTGTGAAGACAAAATATTTTAATATAAGTCTTGCCTAGGGGGTTTGTTTTTTCTTAAATCTGTTTTCTTACACCTCTTCAACCAAAGATAAATCAGGTGTCTTTGGTGTGAACCATCATAGTATTTCCACCTGGGTTGGATGAATGAGTGCTGCTTTGTTTAAGTAATTTCTGTTAAAGAGGTTTTTGAAAGTTTAACTGAGCTATTTTTGTTTCGTTCTGCAACGTGTCTGCATGATGAGAGTCACAATGAGGCCATAGCAAAGGAGAAAAATTTGAAAGCAGATTAAGTCTAAAGTATAAATTTTAGATTATTAGTCTGTGTTTTATTCCAGTCATTCTTTATTCAAGCTATTTTACCTATTCCCAGCTAATATTTGCCATATTCCCTTCTACCATCTCTCTATATATATTACCTTTGCAATGATGTCTGATCACCAGAACATTTTTATTCTATTTTGGGCCCTAAAGAAATATAGTGCAGACTTTAGATGGCTGAGCTGTGCATGCAAGAGCCTGAGGATATGGATTTTTCCTGTATTGTGATCAGTACTTGGTTTCATGGGTGGGTACATCTGTGTCATATGCAACTAGAGAGCCTTGATAAGTTTCCTGCTCATACCCCTCCTGTGGGTCAGTGTCAGGTGTTTCTTGTAATTCTCAGCCTTCCAACCTCCAGTACCCCTCTGGCCTGGAACCTAAGGGGTACACACATGTGCACACAAGCATTCTTTCACGTGGCAAAACTGAAAAGTTCAAACTACTTTTAAAAATCTTTGGCTTGATTTTAGGTTGAAAATAAGTGTCAATTTGGTTTTATTTGGCTTTTACTGCTTGCCTAGTGAAGGTATATTAAAAGTAAACCTATCCCAAACACACATGTATGTGTGTGGTTGTGTGTCTTGTACATACATTTTCCAAAGTTTGTTAGTTTTTCTTTAAATTGAACAAATTTTACTGCTTAGCTGTCACAACAGATATCAACAGGGATGTGAAGGATGCTGAATTTAGACAGCAACTAAACATTTGGTCATAAGGAAGTTTTCCATGCAATGAACACACTAATAATACAAGGTCTTTGGTCTTCAGAAAAGAAAATTATGCAAGTGGAAGAAGTTTGGGGAGAGACAAATCTTCCCTTAGGAAAAAGGGATCTTTGAAGATTCTGTTTTTGGCAACCAGAGAGGGGAAACAGTCCTACATCCAGTATTTCTGGGAGTTGAGAAGTATGCATAACTAAGAGTTAAAACTCAGATTCCTGTTTATGCTAAAATGATCAGACTGTTAGAGAAATAGTGCTCTACAGATGCAATGGCACTGGATAGAATGACCTATGTCATAAAAAATATCAAATGGGTATGAAGATACCTAGTAGACTTTGTTTATTCACGACTTACAGTTGCAGAACATAACTTAGGATAGCAACATTGCAAATGCAAGAGAAATAGACGTTTTCAAAAATCTGCTGTCCAGCGCTGAAAGTCAGTGTACAAAGCTCTTCTATATAAAATAGCATAGAGAAAACCAAGTCTTGAAAAGTGGAATCAATAATGTGACTTTCCTCTAGACATTGCCTTATAATTGAAATTGAATATTTGAGGAAGACTGTTCCTTGAAGTATTATGAGGAAAAAGATGAGGAATGTATGACACGTCAGTGTTATTCTTTTCTAAATTGTAAATTTTAAGGGATGATATACAGAGAAATTCTGAAACAGCTAAAAGATACAGCTCTTTAAAACAAACAAGCAAACAAACATACAAAAACAAACAACCAGAAAAATGCAAGATACATTTTAGCACAGTGATTTAGGCCAAATCTTTTCTGGGTCTCCTCTTTCTGTAGATCAATCAGGCAAGTTTTTGTTCTCTAATAAAACATATTTTGAATAAATTCTGTGTACAGTAACAAGTTCTGTTGACTTTAGTCTCATGAGTACATATTTTTAATGCACTTGAACTTAGACAGTTTTCTATCATAGGTAGTAAAAGCCTATGTACTATTTACCATAGAGTACAACCTGTCTGAGGTGTGCAAAAATAGGGCTTTTGGTGGTCCTTCCCTGCCAGGAACACCAGTGGGACTCTTGTCCATTGTCTGTTGTCCCTAACCAGGTAGAACTCCTATCAGCACCGTCACAGATGTGAGAGCATAAAACGTGAATCACTAAAGCCCGTCCCAGGAAGAGGAGAAAGCAAGATGCAGAGATTTGTTGCTAACAACCCGGTTAGTTATGGGTACATGATCATTCAGAAAGTACCTTTGAAAAAGCACATTTTAAGCTTCCACGAATGTAGGTTGCTGGCTGAATATAGGCTAGATACCTTGAGGAATCACTTCTTTGCCATCCTTAATTTTTTACGCACCCTTGTGTTGACATGATATGAAGACTTTTATGGCTGTTGCATATAGTAGCGTGATTTGTTTGTTCTTTGCTCCTTTGCAACACCATTACCAGTTTAGGTAGACAGCCATGTGCAATATTACAATGCAGATGTGGAAGTCTTGCTCTGGTCTGGTTTCATACAGTGATGTGAGAGATATTTTTAGGAACATGCTAGTTTAATAAGTTGTGTCAGCTAAATCAATGTATGATTTTAACAATAGAGTCCTGTGGCTCCTATTTGAGTAAATGGCCTATAAGGCCCATACTGCAGTTTAGATTTTAGTTATGTTTTGTACTAGTATAGCAACAGTTGTCTGGGGCTGTGTGCGTTAATTACTGTTACTCTGAACTGACCAGGAAGGTGGCAAAGCGGGAACAAACCCACAATGGTGGCATGCCCTTAACAAAAAATTATTTTCAAAGTGGTTGGTACAGGCTCATTTAAATCTTATCAAAGAAGAGAAGGATATAACGTTTATACTCTGGTTTAACTCAGAAGAAAATGAATTTGGGGATCTTTGATTGCCTTGATGCAGATAAAGGGGAAGAAGGGAAAAGAGGTGGATTGTGGCAAGTAGCTTGCAGAAAATCCAGACAACCTACTTCTAATCTTTGTTTCCCTGGATTCTACCCACTAGAGGATAACTCACCCATTTGATTTATTGTCGTGTTTAAACAACTATCAGGGACCTCAGAAAGCTATGGTTTATATCAAATCATGGTGAAGTAAAATTAGCTTAATTGCTCAACTGAGGAATTCAATATAATAAAATAACTAAGGGAGTCTTACAGGCTTACAGGTGAATTTAAAACTGAGTTTGCATGAAAATGGAAAATAAGTGGAAGGAGAGCTAATTCTGTATTAGAGCTGCAGCCATTTGCTAAGGCAGCTTTGGTGATTCAGTTCTCATAAAGAAATATATGCAGAACTTCAGTTCCCTGCCTTGCTTTGTTCTGACCTAAAGAAAGACCTGAAATCACCCGAAGTTTAAAAAAAAAAAAAAAAAATGGTCTTGGAAGCCTACATTCATGACTACTCATTTATTTGCATTAGATGTTCCAGCCCATCTGTTCTGTTGTGCTCTGCCTGTTCACTAGAGACTTAAAAGCATACTACTTAAATATATTAGGAAACCAATGATTACTTTAACCAAACAAAATGATGACTTTTTTCTTTACTGAATCCCTATCCAGAGATGTTTCTTACATCTTATGTTAAGTAAGGTGATTTACATTCATCGTATGCACTGAATGCAGGCACTGGTTTGAATCCCAATTAAGGCTGACATTTAAGGACATCTGCGTGGGTGTGTACTAAAATAAAACAATATTTATCCCAAAACTGAGATAATAGGGGATGCTGGTGCCTCTTTTTACCTGTGAAAAAAAGAGGGAACTCTTTAGCTCAGAGCATGCCTTTTGTTACAAGACTAACATACCTGTCAGAAGGGGCCTTGTTTATTTACATATTTATATGAGGAAAGCTGCAAAGTTACTGTTCTGGTGACTGTGATGACTAGGAAGCACCACTTAGTGCTCATACTGTACCCATCTAGTTACATGAAGGTATGGAACCTGTCACACTCCATGTCTCCTACAAAACATGCATTAAATTTCATCAGCTAAGGCAATAGCTTTCATTTATAAACAATAACCTGTTATGTAAGCCTGGCCTACACTGACAGTTGGCTGTGTTATCCTATGTATTCCTATTAAAAATGAAAGACATTTTAGCAAGGTTTGAAGTAGATGAGGTACTGCTGAGAGGGAAGAGTATTAGAAATGTATTAAGATATTAGAGGTCTACAGGTAAACTGTGACCTAATGAAATACCTCCATGGAGTAATGAAAAGCTCAGGGTTTGTTTGCTTGGGTTTTGTCCTCCCTAAAAATGTAGTTTAGTTTAGATCGTGTTGTGTTTGTGCTATATTTACAGGCAAAGAAAGGAAACTATGCTTTCCTGTGGGATGTGACGGTGGTAGAATATGCTGCTCTGACAGATGATGAATGCTCTGTGACAGTCATCGGGAACAGCATCAGCAGCAAAGGATACGGGATAGCACTCCAGCATGGAAGCCCCTACAGAGATCTTTTCTCCCAAAGGTAAACTGAAACAAAGCTTGTTTTATAAGATTCCACTCTACAACCAGCAACCATTTGTGGTTCACGTTAATTTTGGCAATTATTGAATAAACAACAGTGAATAAGTGACAGCAGAGAGGTTATGAGTTCAGGCTTTGACAAAGCTGCTGCTTCTGCTCCATGTGCATCTGCTTAGGAAGGAGGGGACTGGAGGTGGTGTGTGGCCTCAAACCTCCAGGCAGCACTGCCTCTGGCAGAAAAAGGACTGATGTCCTCAGAGCTTTGTATGAGCTAGGGGAGAGATTCAAGTGATCTCTTTGATTCATGCTACATTTTTCAGGCTATGAAGCAATGTGTTGCTCCCTACAGTAAGCAAGTGATAGTGCCCTGGTTTCTCCTTTAGGGTGGAGAGATGGGTTGAAGACTCACAACAGTACAGGAAAACAAGAATTGCTGAGTATTCTATGGGATTGCCAAGACTATGAGACTATAAAACTATGCCATTTAGTGATCTCTGAGCTATCAGCTATGAATATCTTTTTCATGTGAATGTATACGCTGAAATGAAGACATGCAGTTGTGCAGGCATGTGTGGCCTTAGTAGAAGGTGAGTGGGTTCTCCACTCCAGCCAGTGAGCTGAAGCAAGATTTCCTCGTCTCACTCCTTTTTTATAACAAGAAGTAAAACTCCAGCTGCATAATCAGAGGCAAAGCTGCCTCGAGAAAAGATTGTTAGTAAACAGCTACAACAGTTATCAAACCAAATCCAAAATGAATCATTCATGGAGAGAAGGGACACTTCACAAGAGGCAAAACAATGATTAATTAGCAACTGTTAACACAGTAATTCAGGCATGAAGTAACAGCACTGAAGTAGAATCCTTTTGAATAAACTACATTTGCGGAAGTAAATTAGTTGGTCGCTGCTTAAACAGATTTGTATCAAGAGATGCACAAATAGTATCATGTTTAGTCTCACATGATTTTGAAATTATTGTGGGAGAGCACCAGTGGAGTGGGTAAGCATTTCGCTAGTGGGACCAGCTGCTGCAGCTGAATGTAGCCAGACCAGCCATGATGAACTGGAATATGGTGATTCTCCTTGGAAATGCTTCTTGCATTGCAGTGGAATTTTTGACAGTCTCTTCTTTTTCTAAAGTTACCCAGTGGAGCTTACCTGCTGCTGCGAGTAGAAAGAAATGCTGGTATCATGGAGTTTCAGATGAAGAATACTACATGGTGGTGGGATAGAGTTTTCAATTGCAGGACAGTAGATTTAAGAGTTATGTGGCATACAGAAAAGACCAGAAAACTGTGAAAAAGTATAATTGAAAATAATACTTGTCTGTTGAAATTTCTGCAGGATCCTAGAATTGCAAGAAAGTGGAGATTTGGATGTTCTTAAACAGAAATGGTGGCCACGGATGGGACGTTGTGACCTGAATAGCCATACCAACGCACAGACAGATGGGAAGGCACTCAAGCTTCACAGTTTTGCAGGCGTTTTCTGCATTTTAGCAATAGGCCTTCTTCTTGCATGCTTGGTGGCAGCATTGGAGTTGTGGTGGAACAGCAACCGTTGTCATCAAGAAACACCGAAAGAGGTCCATAACTTTTATTCTTATCACAATTAAAAGTAGAAAACACAAAAGAAAGAAAGTGGAAGTTGTGGGATTTTTAGGTGCTCTCACAATAAATTTGATTTATTTTGATTTGCCATACTAAGCTTTGCATATAACTTTTTGGGTGGTTGTTTCTAAACAAATAATAAAAAAAAAAAAAAACAAACATATCTTTTGTGCTCATGGAAGGTGCCAAACTGACAGCCCTGGAGACTAAAGTCCTCTATTTATTTATAGAGCAGATACAGCATGGGCAGCAGCAGTGCAAACTTCCCCACATTGCCCCACCACTGTGCCTCAACCCTGACCTGGAGAGACCACCTTTAGGGGTAAGAGAGTAGTTCAGAAACACACCCTTGGCCTCTCTGCTGTGAGTGATGGGGAGGCCAGTCACGGGCATCCAACTGTGACATCCGTGGTAATGTTTTCTCTGATCTGAGACCCCATCCATCGGCTGTAAGAATCATGTCCATCCCGCGCAGGTTATGCAGCTGCCAGCCAGCTGGTAGCTGTTTTCCTTCATGGCTGACCGAGGCTGAGTTTGAAGAGATACACAAGTTATTAAAAATAAACCAGCTAGTTATTGATTGAATAAGCCATATTGCCATGACACTGTTTAAATGCTTCCTTTCTTTTGAAATCAGTTTTATTTCTAAAAGTAGGAGCCTCTGAGTAAACCAACCTTCATATGACAGATTTTACCTAGGAAAATACATCTGAGAATTTCTTGGTTTTGAAGTTTTCATGCACAGCAGCAAGTAATAGTTAGCAATGCTATGATATTATAATCAGTCCATACTCAAATCTGTCTTGCATGAAGCCTGTATTTGTTTACATAGATTAAATGTTTAACAAACTAACCTCTTGTAATTTTGGAGATACCGAGGCATGTGTAGGTGCTTTCATCTTGGAACAGATGTTTGTTACAAACGAATAATAGCAGTGAGCTGCACTACAGCTGGAAAACAGTACATAGCCCATCAATTCCAATCTATGTTTCTCAAGTTGCCAGGAGTACTACACTAATTGGCATACCTATCACCTGTAAGCAATTCTAGCAAATGGGATCTGAAGATATATGTTGCAGTCTGTAACGTTGTGAAATATTTATCAGTAAGATTACATTCTTCTGAGTTCCTGCTTCTCCCATTTGAATTCATCCATCAAGTGCTCAGTGATAGACATCTGTACCATGTTTGTGGGACAAAGCTGCAAAGTCACTTGCCTGTGCCTTGACAACGTACAATAGCAGAAGGGAAATTCTGGTGAAAGGAAGCATGTCTCGGCTTTGCACAATGCAGCACTTCAAAAGCAGGCAAAGGGAGAGCATTAGTAGGTACTCTTGCTCATAAAGAAGCTTTCATAGGAACAGAAGTGTATATTTAATTGCTCTTTGGTTAAATACTGTAGCATTTTGCCCTGCTGCCTTGTAGAAGTCACTCCTGCTGTAATGCCATGTTAGCGTTGCGAAGGCCTAAACGCTCGCTGCAGAGGGTTCACTGCCCACTGTGAGAGCCCGGCAGGGCAAGGGGCAGGGACATTGTCTGGCGTGTCCCCATGCTGCGTGTGCACGAGCATCCGTCTTGCTGCGCTCTGCAGTGCGTTCCCCTCTGTGCTCAGGGACTTGCCTTTGTGCATCTTTGTAGAGTGAAATGAAAATATGCCCCAAGGGCAGTTTCATGTAGGTGAGGTGAAATAATTCACTATTCTATTGCAAGGAACTTTTAAATACTCAGTTTCCATCTCTGAAAAAGGATCGGTTTTCCCGAGTTTATTTTCTTTTTGCCCATCCCCTTTGTTTCTCCTTTTATAACTGTAAGAAGGATTATTACAGATCACCGCCTACCCCGTCCCACCTTTTCTCCTCTTCCCGTCCCTCTCCTCCTCCTCACCTTTCCCTCCAGTGTGTTCTCAATTACAGTTGCTCCGTACACCCTCTTTTGCAGTTTCTGTGACAAACAGCAGAATACTTTTAAGCTTCCATTTTTAAAAGTGTACTAAATGTACCCATATGGTAAAGCTGTACTTGGGAAGATCACCCTGGTGGGGAGCTCGGTTCACCCTTAGAGCTCAGCCAGTCTGGGTTAAGGGAGGCAAATTAAACTCGGGCACAGCGCACGGGGACAGGCTGAGGAAAGGTCAGTGCGGTGGGTGCTGCCAAGAGAGAGGGAGAACAGAGCGTGGGAGCCCTGGCACACGTAGGTGTTATGGTTGAATGAGAAAGTGCATGTTCCCAAGGAGAGGGCACGGGGATGAGGGCTCACAGGCCGAACCGGCCAGGAGGAAAATGTAAGGAGGGTGTGTGAGGCAGGTGGGATGGAACATGAAGGGTCCCAGAAAAGGACAGCTGTGTGCAGTGAAAGGCAGGTGGATAGAAGCACCTTTGGGTCAGGTCAGAGCAGGCAGAGGGATGGCCAGGCAGCGGCTTCGGGCATCCTCCACTTACACGTGACACAGCCATGTTGTTCTTTCCAACCTAAACTTTATTTCCACCCGGACCCGCTGCAGATGGGGCCGTGTAAGACATTCAGCGAAGGCTGAGCTGACACCGCCCGCCCGGAGCTGCCTGAGGGCCGGGGCCTGGCAGAGGCAGGCGCGTGACCAGCGAGTAATGGCCGCCCGCTGCGGGGGCTGGGAGCGGGGGCCCACAGCTGCGATGGGCACAACGGCCGCTCAGGTAAACTGGTAAATTAACGTAGCTGATACTTCTTGGTAGATTAGTGGGCAGGGGTGTTTTGTTTATGTGCTACTAGTGGAGAGGGATTGAAGTGGGATTGCCTCTGGCTACTGTAATTAAGATGGGAAACCAGGTTTTTGGAAGGGATGGTGTAGACTGGCTGAAGATTTTGAACGTATTTAGGAGAACCAAGTTTCAAAGCTTTGGAAGGGACAGGATCCGGGGGCGCGGGGAGCATTGAGTCCTGGGGACTCCTCTGCTTAAGTTGGGAACAGTGGTTGAGCATTGCTTAGGGGACCAAAGACAAAAAGAGGATTTGATCTCCAGGAGTAGTGTGTTTGGGATATCTCATTTCTGTCACTGCACATTATCCAGCATTTCTACAGCCATAGCCATAGTAACAGAGCTACGGTATGCATAGCGTATACAGAACATTAAAATCTGCCTCTTAGCTGCATCTGATACTCCAGCCAAGTCATTAGTTCAGTAACAGCTGCAAACTTAAGTCATGCTGCTGATTTTCTTCTGCTTTTGGGAAGGCTTTGGCAAAACATGAATGTTGTGATATCACCTAAAAATTGTGGGAACTGGCTTGTCTCCCAACCATTTTTTTTTCTGTGAAGTGCAGAGCTTGTGGAGGATTGCAGAAGGGGCGGATTTTCTTGCAGCCTAAGATTAGATTTTGGTGTTGCCTCATGGAGAAGCCACCTTGTGAGGCTACAGACAAGGAAGCAGTGTTTGGCTTCGGTGACCCTTGCCCTGTTAGGAGCTTTATAAATCCATTTTAGAAAGTTACAGTGAATTCAGGATTGAATGAGGAGTTGTCATAACTTGCGGAGCCCTTGTGTAACGTTCTTTCTTTGGCTTGACTCACTTGGTAGGTTGTATCATGCCAACAATTGCAAACTCAAAAACTGGAGAGATGTTGGGAACATGGATGCACAACTGCTCTGACAGAGTTATGACAGGGTTGGGTGGCTATGCAGCTTGCTGAAGAGGGAGAGAAAGGATTTTTTTAGAAACTCTCATTTTTTATGTGGAGGTTCTGTGAAGTTTGTGGCTAGAAGAACATGACCAGCCTTTATTAACATTGGAGAAGTGTTTTCAGCTGACATTAAGTGTTGATATTTGCCATTTTGTCATCTTTCCCTCTTCCACTTTGGATTTCTTTGACTTTTGTGGAGGTTGGCCTGAGCCAATACACTGAGGTGTTCAAGGACTCTGATGTCTCTGTGGTAGAAATCACAACACTTAATTACAATGAGTGTGGAAAAATGTAGTGTTAACTATGTAACTAGGGGGAACAGGAAGCCTGTCTTTTGAAACCTGACCGTAACTTGGACTTTGACATTAATCTGATCTACATTTGCAGAGACTATATAGGAAGAGTTATGTCAGATGTAGACTACTTCCAGTTGCAGTATTTTTTACATTGTTCGTGTATGAAGAAAACCTGCCCCACTCAATTAAAAAAATAGTATTGTTTCTGCCCATTAAGACAGTTCATTAAGATAAACCTCCAGGAAAGATGTACTTCCTTTAATTTTGCCAAAACCACAGTTGCCATTGGTTCACAATTCTATCATGCAACGAATCATGAATTTTCTTGCTAGAAGAAGGCTGGGTTGATTTTCAAGATGTTGATACAAGATATTTTTATTCTATTTGAAGCAGATTTGTAAAAATGTTTCTAATGAGTTTTGCTGTAAAAAATCTTAATCTTATCCATTTTAAGTCTTCATTTAATCCTTATCAGATCAGATTAACAAAAGAAAGATTAGCTTCAACATCAGGAAAAAATGCACAGCTGCAACACAGTGCTGCATTCTTCAATTAGGGCTCAAGTTTGTAATCTCTTAAAGTCAGAAAGTTATCTAGTAATGTTTAAATGCCCATATTATTTTCTAATTTAGGAAAATTCACATTTGGTTGTCTTTTTCAAATCAGATTTTCTAGAATTTATAATTATCCTCTCCTAATTGTTGTTAATAGCCAGCCATCCTATACGCACAGTGAAATTTAGCCAGCTCGTACGTCCATCTCTGTGTGTTAAAATCCTGAATTTACACAGCTGCTACTCAGCCTGTAATAATGATACCTAAACTTTTGACTCTGATAAGCTACAGAAATTTGGGGAGTTATAAAATAAAAAATGGAAATTAATATTTATTCTGGAATCTCTTGTCAGTCACTCTGTGTTCCTTTTGAATAAGTGAGCAATCCGATAAAGTTATTGAAACCTGTTACCATGGAAATGTTGAGCTTTCAATAATTATCCCTGGATTTCTGTATCATTTGATATGAGTCCTGTGCATTTGTTTCATTATATTAGTAAGCTATAATATAATTTGGATCATTTAACTGACAAGGGCTTTGCCACTTCATCAGATTGTTGGTATCTTTTATCCCATTTGACAGACTGAAAGACAGTTTTCGAATCTTCATTGTCATTATGATCAAGTGTAGCTGCTTACTGCAGTGGACTCCCCAGCATCCTCTGTGCTTTATCAGATATGTCTTATTGTGATATACTGTTCCCCTTGAAGATTATAACTTCTGAGATCTATTCAGAACTATTAAGAAAGCACTCTGAGTTCATCCACATACTATACTCCAAAACAATGAAAACTTAGAAGCAAAGATAAAATACTA